TCCCTGACTCATCCGCACCTGATTCAGACGCTGCGCCCTCTGGAACTCCTGGATCTCTCGGCGGTGTTGACTTCGGATTTGCTCGATCTTGCCTGCAATTGAAGTCAATTGAATTGGTTAATATTGAAAGACCCTGACCCTGCTCACTCTATATAAATTAGAAGTCTATTCAGAGAGTCTATTCATTATATAAATGACAATATTTTAGAATTTTAAAGAATTAAAGAAAAGTTAAAGTTTTCTAACATTTCAAATAAGAGAGTTATAATAGTTACAAGTTTTGAGTTTAACATCTAATCAATTAAAAACTTATCCCTGAATTCAAAATAGAGTTTAAAACATATCATGCAATGTCTGATTGTACTCTTCATGTTGTCATTTGACGCCTCATTTATACCGAATATTTCTCCGTCTGAGGGAATGGGCGCTAAGTCTGACGTCGGAAGGGGTGTTGGCATCGGCATAAACATATCATGCAATGTCTGATTGTACTCTTCATGTTGTCATTTGACGCCTCATTTATACCGAATATTTCTCCGTCTGAGGGAATGGGCGCTAAGTCTGACGTCGGAAGGGGTGTTGGCATCGGCAGGAGTGGCATCCGCGTGGGGTCGGGTGTCAGTGACTTCGCCCCGCCTTTCCTTTCGCTGTTTCCCGACTCGAATATCTGAGCGATTTGTTCGTCAGCGGCGGCCGAGTCGTCGAGTTCGCTGTCGACACCACTGTCTGGATGTGACAAACAGTCTGTTTAGACAAATGCCACGAAATGAACGCATATTAACGGCTAATACCTCTGAACTCAAAGGGCGCCTCTTCTTCGTAATTGACATCATTTCCGGTCATCTCTTTGATCCGTTTCCTTATGAGTCGAATCCTTTCCGCCCGTAATTCCGAAGCCCTGGCCTTACATTCTTCAGTCAATTCGTGTAAATCCTTAGCGATGGTTGAGTTGAGGACCTGTTCCAACCACTGGCGTAGAGCACCGGCTCTTTTGTATGTGGTTTGATAACAGTTCAACGCATGGGTGTGTCGTTCGGGGGTTTGCATATCCGTGAAGATGTAAGAAATGGCTTTGTTGAGGGTCTCGACCTCGTCGGGGGCACAGTAGGGCAGACTTATGTTGGGCAGGTATCGTTGGGCCCCCTGAATGTTCTGACTCGCCATCACCAGGTTATCTCTGGCGTCAGCCACACAATGATATCTTTGTTCGTTCTCTCTGTCCATACAATTGGATTGCATTTCATATAATGTGCAAACAATTAGACACTCAATGGACTCACTGGACAGGAATGTCGAGTAATTCCTTCCACTTTTGAAGTCCCCGACCCAACTGGACATTGGCCTGTTTGACCAGAGTCTTGGCCTGTTTCCACCTGAAGTGAGCCTGGTCTACGTGGTGCTTCTGCTCCAACAACCAGTCCAACTCTTTTTCTAATTGGTTCTCAATGTCACTGGCGTACTGGCCTTCAAATATGGCATCTTTTAGATAATTAAAGAAATGTTACACATTAGCAACTCATTGATCGCTAATTCTTACAACATTTAGTAGCTATTCTCACCTAAAAGTTCATCCCTTTTCTGGTAATAGAGTTGCAGTTTCTCGCCCTCAGCCACAGACTGTTGCACTTCTAGTTTTATATTATTTTGTTGCTGTGAAGTGGTCTCTAACTCTTTCTCTACCACTTCCTGTCATATAAATCATAAAATAAAAGAACATTTTTAAAGAATATTCTTGAATTGCAAAGAGAATGAAGAGGTTTACGAGTCGATTGAGTGAATCGATGAGCTTTTCTTCGTCTGGAGTGAGCGAGTCGTCCGATAATCTCTTTTGAAGAATAAATTCTTTAACGGATCGCAAGTCTATATTTCCCATTTGGTTCTGGATATCATTTCTATAATTGACGTATAAATGTGTTCACTTGTGTATTGATAACTCATTGATAAGATTACGTTTGTTGTCCGTATACTTTGCGATCCCTTTCCAGTTGTTTGACGGCTTCATCCAATTGCTCCAACTGTTCACTTTTGATCTGATAGTTCTCTAACACGTGCTTCTTCTCGAAGTCATTGATGGCGTACTCCAACTGTAAGTATTCATTCAACGCCTCCTCATTTATCTCTATCTAAACCGTTATAACAAAACATTCATTTGTATTATATTTGCATTGAGACAACAATTTATTGATTTTAATATTACAACAAATATTTAATATTCATTTTTAATCAGAGTTGTTATGAAATACACAATTTTCTGCTAAATTAAGATCTCTATAAATTATATTTTCATTTTGCAAATTAATATTTACTAAATTACTTGTTTTGTAAGCAGAATTTTATAATAAAATATTTATTGATAATTATTCTAANTTGTTATGAAATACACAATTTTCTGCTAAATTAAGATCTCTATAAATTATATTTTCATTTTGCAAATTAATATTTACTAAATTACTTGTTTTGTAAGCAGAATTTTATAATAAAATATTTATTGATAATTATTCTAAAGATTCGTAGAAAATTAAATTAAGCATGAATTAAAATATATTAGGGAAACATTGATTTCAAAGATTCAACATAAAAATTGCGTGCATCTTATGAAATCTTCATTTGATTTTTTATTTGTTTATTATTCAAATAGTTATAAAAGCAATTCTAGTCGAACTTACTTTACATTTTACATTACCTATTGTTAATTTTCTTAGACATACTGCATATGAAATCGTTTATCAATCGATATCTTAGCAGTCATTTCAATAGAAAGGCCTATACTTTAATCGATTCTTTGATTACTATGTATACAAACTTTTCGATTCTGTTACAAAACTAAGTGCAAACTTAAGTGTAACTAATTCTTATGACTTTATATTCTCACAATCTTATAGATTTCTATCTAAAACTTAAAATATTTAATTTAAATGAATTTTTAATTGTAGTAATAATAAATTATTGGCAACTTTAAAGCTTTTAAAAAATTCTTAAGTGACATTAAAATAAAATAAAAAGGATTTGTTGAACATTAAATTAAATTTTAAAGTATTAAAAGCATATTTTTGACTATAAAAGCATAAAAATCATAAAATATAGTACTAATAACTTACGGGCTTTCGGTTATGATTTCTAGCGGTATGTCGACTCCGAACATGACTTTCACTCTTATGATGAATAGCTGTAGAACTGCTGCCACAACCCATATATGATATGAGATATTAATTGTGCGGTTATTAGTAAAAACACTTTAGAAAATGACAATTAATAATTTATCAAAATAAAACCCTTAACACAAAACATAACAAGTGAGTCATTATTATGAATAACTGGTGGACTCTAAGATCACAAGTGGTTACGAGGGATGAGATGACGACCGGAAAACACAATTTGTTTTTAATAACTTAAGGGTTTCTATGGAAATATGAATGAGAAGATCGATATGTTTTGTGTTTTATGTGAATCTCAGATTTAATTGCAATATTTGCTGATCACTGCCAGTCAAGCCAACCAATGGGCTCCCAAACAATTGACAATACAATTAAACATTTATTTACTCAGAATTTTAATGAATATTCTGCCGATTCTTTGGATTCCCTTTTCATTAAGTTTTCCTATAAAACATGAACAACTCTTTTATGCAATCATTGATTAGTTTTGGTGCTCTAAATATTTCTGTAAAATTTGCATAAAATGATTGTCTAATTTTGAAAATCATGTCCAAACATTTCAATATAGATCACTCGTGAGCTCTATTTTATTTCAAAATTTTAATTCAAATGTACATAACTTTATTCTAACTTATACACTGTATCCTGGATCAATGTTTTGACTTGATTACCACATACAGTATGATAATTTACTCTTATTTCAATAAGTTAATCAATGTTTTTATAAATTATTAATTTTATGTTTTGAGCCTACGAGTTCAATATTTTATGAGCTTTATACAAATTCATACAATTTGTGTTAATTTCGAAACAGCTTAACATACATGTTCATATTGTAATACCATTTAAAATATTAATTCATAAATTCATTATGTGTGCGATAAACTCATTAAATTTTAATATTCATTCATTCATTTATCCATTCATATAATAGTGACATATTTTATTGGTAATGATGACTTATTTTTAACAAAATAACATGGCTATTTTAAAATATTCAATAAAATATAAAAACCCCATTGCGATGTCTACGATATTTATTCCTTGAATAGAAATTCTATAATTACTGTTAGAGATTTTAAAAATGAGACAGATAAATTGTTTGAATGTAATTTGAATGTTATGTTTTAAATAATATTTTTTAAATCGATACTTTTCTCTAACTTTACAATTGTTTAACTTTATAATTGTATAATTCTGTATCTCAATTCTCCATTGTTATATCCATATACTGAACTGTACACTGTATACTATACACTCTATGATATTCATGGTACAGTATAGTAGAATAGCTACCTAATAGCTAGAGTATAGTTCAAACTATTAAATTAATATTGAGTCTGAAATTCAACTAACGTATGGGATATAAAAAAATTACAAGAAATTAATCAAAAATAACTATTCTTATAATATTCACACAGGTATGTTTTATTTAAGATCATCAATATAAATTATAACTACAGTACCGTATATGCATATAAATTTTAGATTCTAAAATAAACTCTATAACATGCAGTTGTGTTGCTACAATTAAATGATTTAATTGAATTTAAATCCAATGAATTGTGGATATATTAAATTATACAGTAATCTAGCCTGGAACATTATAATACCATAGTTTCTAACAGAAATCTGTACTTATCAAAATCTGTTATCAAAATCAAAATGTGTTCAAAATCTGTACTTATAATTCATATAAAAAAATCATGTAAAAATTTTACCAGTATATGAATTCTTAGAATTATTATTAACTGGGTAAAAGTGATTGGATTGATTGTGCAATTTTCATGAATATAATGGTCATATTTTAAATGAAATAAAAACGGAATATTGTAATCATATTCAATCATTTATTGTAAATTTCATTAAAACCAAAGCATTTTTAATATAAAGTTTTATATAAATTACTGCAAACAACGTTAAATAAAGGGATTATTTATTAAATCATTATTGAAAAGCACACAAAAATTGTGGATTAGTGCCATTAGTGTTATTAAGGGGTCAGCCGTTTTGGGTCGCGTGGGAACAGCGATGTCTTTCTGATGTTGTCGAGACCCAAGTACAGCATTGTCACCCTTTCCAGGCCTATACCTCCGCCCGCATGCGGTGGACACCCGTAACGGAATGCGTCGATATATCCCTTAACTCCGTTTAAGTCTAAAACAATTCATAATTAAAACATACTGTAAGTCAATGGAAATGTTTACAAAATACCGATTGAATGGAGTTTAGCCCTCTCCGTGAGGAACTCTGGCTCATGAATACGTTGGGCACCGGACATGATCTCCTCTCCCCTCATAAACAAGTCATAAGAATTTGAAATTTTCTGTCAAAAACAATTCAAAATAAGTGTCCATTCAATAGACTATTAGCCTAAGGATGCGAACCTGATTGGAGGGGTCGGGCATTGTATAGAAGGGACGGACGGCGAGCGGGAATTTGTCGAGAATATAGAAGTCTGTGTCGTATTTCTCGCGCACGAGTTTACCCAACAGTTTCTCATTAGTGGTGCTTAAGTCGTCCTCATCTCCCATCTCGACCCCCACCTCACGAAGCATTCGCACGCCTTCTGCGAACTCAAGCCGAAGAGTTGGCTCTAAGAACTTAAACGGTTCCGAAGGGTATTGACGGCCAACAGCTGCGATTTCATCGGCATATCTCGACTGAAGACCTTTGAAAATGTCGACGAATAGGGATCCGATGACATCGAGTACTTCGTGGTAGTGATACTCGAAGGCCATCTCGAAGTCGAGGCCAACGAATTCGCAGAGATGTC